AGGAGCAGGGAGGCGGGTGATGGCCACCGCTGAATGCGAGCCCCATCCCACTGCGGGCAGCTCTGGGTCCACGCAGGAGACAGCTGCTCCCCACGTGTGGGGCAGACCCCCAGGCACCCATCCCAGCTCCACATGCCCCAGGACACGCTTTGGGAGCTGCACAGGAGGGATCCAGTGCAGTGGGCAGTTTGGCACCTGGAGTCTGTCTGCACAGGGTACACTGCCTCAGCTGCTGAGACAAACGTCTTGTCTTCCCCGTCCCCTTGGGCTGAGCTGAGATCCTTCTGAATCCCTCCAGGATGAACTGGGATCCTTCCCAATCCCTCTGGGATGAGCCAGGATCTTTCCTTGTCCCCCTTGGATCTCAGAGGAGTCATGATGCGTTCCCTAGTCACAGCAGGGGATGGGTGACCGGGGAGCCTGTGGGCTTTGCTGCTTACACCCCCAGCTCCCAGGCCTCCATGATTTCTCCATGGCCTTTCTGGGAAGGCAGGGGAGCAGTGGATGCAGGATGCCAGCCTGGTGTGGGCAAGGCACCGGGTGAGATGCTCCTTTCTCCCCATCCTGGAGCTGCTGGGACACCTGGGCAGGAGGCCGAAGCCGCCTTATCTCTCCTCTGGCTCTGGTGTTTAGTCTTGGGTGCCTCGTGGTGTCCCTAGTGCCCTGCCTGGCAGCAGCGGGTGCTGAGGGGTGAAATGGCACAGCAGGGGCTGCTGCTCACCTGGGTTTGGTGGAACAACCAGCTGTTGCCTCAGCGTTTGGCTTGTTAATTGCCAGCTCTGGCCACTGCCTGGCAGTGGATCCCTGCAACCCAAAGTCCTGCCTGGGATCTGGTCGCCCTGCTCCCTGGGAAGCCGGGTGTGGGTGAAGAAGCCCTACAGCAGTGGGCTTTGCTCTGGGGGTGCCTTGGACTCGTGGGTGTTGGCCTTTGCCAGCTGGAGCCCTCCCTGCTTCTGCCCTCCTCGCTGCCGGCGGCATCGCGGGCTCTGGGAGGCGTTTCCCGGCCCATCTGCGGGGCGAGGGCACAGGGGGCCGGGAGGCGGCGGCAGGAAGCAAGGCAGGAGCTGCGGCTTGGGGTGGGACGGGGGCTTTTCTGGCGGGAGGCG